TCTTTTCGGGAGTGTACATGTTTGTTTGTTTTTTCGGGGTTTTTTTTGCTAGGCAATAGGGGTTAAGTGACTTGCCTGGGGTCACACAGCTAGTAAGTGTTGTGTCTGAGGCCAAATCTGAACTCAGGAACTCCTGACTCCAGGGTCAGTGTTCTCTCAACTGCGCCACATAGCTGGCCCAAGAGAGCGTACGTGTTTGAAAAGAACCCTGGACTAGGCGCCTGAAGCCCTGGATCCTCTGCCCCGCTGTGCCACAGTGTCTTTGGGCAAAAATATCTCCCCCCTCTCTCTGGGTCTGCTTCCTTAACTGCAAAATGAGGGAGTTGGATCAGGTTGATTCTTAAGGCCCCTTCGAGCTCTAACAGTCTAAAAGGATATTCAAGGATCTCCACAATCTGATGCCTCCCTAAGTCTTTTCTCAACTACTACAGGCCGGAAGATGGTTTATGGCTGCCACACCAGAAGTTGAGGGCACAAGTAGTTATCTCCCAGAGGCAGGGTTAAAATCTGCAACCTCTGACTCCCACTCCAGGGTGATATCCTCTGTTCCACAATGCTAAGGAGCACACAGTAGGTGCCCACTAGATATCTGATTACAACCAGCCACTAGAGGCTCACAGGCTCTCAGAGTGATAGCTGAAAAGGACCTCATATGATGAAGCTGGGTTCATATGGGTACTAAGTGGCAGAGCTGGGATTTGAATTCAGTTCCTCTGACTCCAAATTCTGTACCCTCTCCCTGTAACACACTGCACACATATACTGCAGCCTCTACTCCTGCTCTGGAGGGCTTCTTAACCTGCAGTCAGGGAGCTTGCTTTTTTAATATGTTAATAACTGTACAGAAATGCAAATGAATTCCTTTGTAATCCTATATAATTTATGTGTTTAAAAACATTATTCTGAGAAAGAGTTCATGGGCTTCAGACCATCAAGGGGGGACATCAATAACACCAAACGGCTTAAGAACCCCTAGAGTACAGAGATGTTGTTCAGCACATGAACATATCCTTTTAGTAAACAGAGTTGAAAGGGGCTGGGGCAGCCCCCCTGTGCCAGCCACTCTTTATCTCCAACAGCTCTGACATATAATTAATGACTGGGGCAGCTAGGTGGCACAGTGGATAGAGCACTGGCCCTGAAGTCTGGAGGACCTGAGTTCAAATTCAGTCTCAGACACTTACTAGCTGTATGACCCCGGGCAAGTCACTTAACCCCAATTGCCTCACTAAAAAAAAAAAAATAAATTTATATATATATATGTAATTAATGACCAATAAATATTTTTAACATCCCAGGATAAGTCTCTCTTTTAGTCATCTTTGCATCTGCCTCAATACTGAACATAGGGCTTTGCACATGGTAGTTACTCAGCAAATGTTTGGTGAATGAATTCTTAATCCAGAGAGATCCCAATGGGCAAAGTCTGGATAAGGGACTTCCAATTCGTGACCAACAGAGGGAAATACAGGACTTTCTGGGAAATCTAGCAACCACCCCCATGCCCTGCGGTCAATGTGCCTTTCTGAAAAGCCTTCCCATCTCCACCCCCACGATACTTAACTCTGGCCCAGCTTTTGGGGTACAGATCTAACCAAGAGAAATCTGGGAAGGCCTTGCAGGTCGGGGCAGGAGTGAAGAAGGGGAGAGGGGCTCTTACTAGACTCAGGTGGCTCAGGAGCCTGTAATTAGCTGCTCTGGAATGAATCCCAAATTTGGATACATCTGATCCTTTAGACTGGGGTGGACGTGAGATCGGGGTACATTTGTTACCTCTTTCTACCCTTCCCTCTCCTCAGCTGTGCCAGAATCATTTTAGCCTTCAGGGAAGGTTGTGGAGAAGGGAGAGGGCACTATGATGGTCTAATGAGAGAATCAACTAAAAAACTACTTGAAATAATTAACAACTTTAGCAAAATTGCAGGATATAAAATAAACCCACATAAATCTTCAGCATTTCTATATATTACCAACAAAGCCCAGCAGCCAGAGATAGAAAGAGAAATTCCATTTAAAATAACTGTAGACAACATAAAATATTTGGGAGTCTACCTGCCAAGACAAACCCAGGAACTGTATGAACACAACTACAAAACACTTTTCACATAAATAAAGTCGGATCTAAACAATTGTAAAAATATCAATTGCTCACTAGTAGGCTGAGCTAATATGATAAAAATGACAATTCTACCTAAATTAATTTACTTATTCAGTGCCATACCAATCAAACTACCAAAAAAGTATTTTATAGAGCTAGAAACAATAATAACAAAATTCATCTGGAAGAACAAAAGGTCAAGAATATCAAGGGAATTAATGAAAAAAAATGCAAAGTGGCCTAGTCATAACAGATCTAAAACTATATTATAGAGCAGTAATCATCAAAACTATTTGGTACTGGCTAAGAAATAGAGTGGTGGATCAGTGGAACAGGTTAGGTACACAAGACAACAGTAGTAAATTATCATAGTAATCTACTGTTTGATAAACCCAAAGACTCCAGCTTCTAGGATAATAACTCACTATCTGACAAAAAACTGCAGGGAAAACTGGAAAAAAGTATGGCAGAAACTAGGCATAGACCAATATTTCACACCACATACCAAGATAAGGTCAAAATGTGTACACGATTTAGACATAAAGGGTGATACCACAAGCAAATTAGGAGAGCTAGGAATAGTTTACTTGTCAGTTCTATGAAGAAGGGAAGAATTTATGACCAAACAGGAGATAGAGAACATTATGAAATGCAAAATATTTTTTATTACATTAGATTAATGCACAAACAAAGCCAATGCAACCAAAATCAGAAGGAAAACAGAAACCTGGAAAATAATTTTTACAGCTAGTGTTTCTGATACAGGCCTCATTTCTCAAATATATAGAGAACTGAGTCAAATTTATAAGAATACAAGTCATTCCCCAATTGATAAATGGTCAAAGAATATGAATGGGCAGTTTTCTGATGAAGAAATTAAAGCTATCTACATAGTCATATAAAAACGTTCTAAATCACTACTGATCAGAGGAACCACCTTACACCTATCAGATTGGCTAATATGACAGAAAAGGAATATGATAAATGTTGGAAAAGATGTGGGAAAGTTGGAACATTAATGTATTGCTGGTGGAGGTATGAACTAATCCAATCATTCTGGAGAGCAATTTGAAACTATGCCCAAAGCTCTATAAAACTATGCATACCCTTTGATCCAGCAATACCACCACTACGTCTGTATCCCAAAGAGATCATAAAAACTGGAATAACCAGTTTTCTTTCTACCTCTCTTAGCCAACAGGTAAAAAGCAACCTCCACCCTATTCAACAAGTTAAATCATCATTTTCTGAAATAGACTGGAAAAATCAGTTTCAATGGCTTATATAATTAATTCACCATTAATTTTTTTTTTAAGGCAATTGGGGTACTTTAAGTGACTTGCCCAGGGTCACACAGTTAATAAGTGTCAAGTGTTTGGTCTGAGGCCGGATTTGAACTCAGGTCCTCCTGACTTCAGGGCTGGTGCTCTAAATTCACCACTAATTTATTTTTCTCTTAGCTATGTTTTTGTCTTTCCTTTACCTCAAAGTGTACTCATGTGCCCAAATTTCCGTGAGGTTATACCTGATTTCCCAGATGAAACTGATCTCTTCTTCCCGAACTTGTAGCATTTTGTTTAGAGCCCTGGTTTGTCTTCATCCCATTTTATCCTATATCATAAAGATTTATGTACCTGTAGTATCTTCCTATTACAGAAGTAATATTATGTAGCGAATAGAGAGCCACTTTTAGAGTCAGGAAGAACCAGGTTTAAGTAGCTCTTGCCAAGTCACTTAATCTTTCAGTGCCCCAGGCAACTTCCTTGGACTATAGAGTATAGGAAAATTGCCTTCTCTACACCAATGAAATCTCAGGTGTGGATGAAAATAAGAAATAAAATTTCATACCTATTAGATTGTAAACTTCTTGAAATAAAGAGTCTGCTATTGTCATGCTTCAATTCTAGAATCTAGCACCAAATAGGTGTTTAATAAATGTTTTCTGATTTAAAAAAAAAACAAAAATGGGAATAAGACCCACATGTACAAAAATATTTATAGCAGCCCTTTTTGTGGTGGCAAAGAACTGGAAATTGAGGGGTTGCCCATCAGTTGGGGAATGGCTGAACAAGTTGTGGTATATGAATGTAATGGAATACTATTGTGCTATGAGAAATGATAAGCAGGCCAATTTCAGGGAAACCTGGAAAGACTTATATGAACTGATGCAGAACTAGGACAACACAGTACACAGTAACAGCAAAACTGTGTGATGACTATGATAGACTTAGCTCTTCTTATCAATGCAATGATCCAAGAAAATTCTGAAAGACTCATGATGGAAAATGCTATCCATACCCAGAGAAAGAACTATGGAATCTAGATACAGATCGAAGCATACTATTTTCACTTTTGTTTTTTCTTTCTCATGTTTTTTTCCCTTTTGTTCTGGTTCTTCTTTCACAACATGACTGATGTGGAAAAATGATTAATATGATTGTACATGTACAACCTGTATCAGATTGCTTGCTGTCCTGGGGAGAGGGGAGGGGAGGGAGAGAGAAAAATTTGGAACTCAAAATCTTATAAAACTGAATGTTGAAAACTATCTTTACATGTAAATGGAAAAGATAAAATACTATTAAGTGGAAAAAAATAAAAATAAAAAACTAAGGGAGAGGGCACTAGGGGAAAACTCACTGGGACATTCACCCCCTATTAGACCAGCTGGAAAGAACAGCAAGAAGGCTTCCATCAGAGCTATCCCCAGGTTCCTAAAGATAAGGGACTGGATCGCTGGGTTCTTAGCTCTGAGGACTCTCCTCACTCCTGCTATAAAATGTCAAAGGATGCATCAAGCTCAGCCTAGGTCACGAGATGCCCATCCCATCCCTTTGCCAACCTGCATGCCAGTCCGTAGGCACAGCTCCCAGCCATCCCCTCAATCCTGCAGCCCACTCACCTTGCAAGATGTGCCCAGGAGAATACCATCAGAGCTCCAGGCCACGCTCTGAACCTGATCACTGTGTGTGTCCAGCTCTAGGAAGAAGAAAAAAAATAAAAAAGGAGTCCACAGTAGGGAGGTATCCAGCCACTATGAGAAAATTTGGAGCAGATGGGGGTTCCTCAAGAGACTCATGGGAACCTGGGGCTCTTACAGATGCCACAGGTGGCTGGGGCCTTCTAGAGAAGCAGTCATGATACTATGGAAAAAGGCAATGAACTGGAAGTCAGCCAACTTGGATATGGGGCCAAAAACCATCATTTCTTAGCTATGTAACTTTTGGGCAAGTCACTTTACCCCTCTAAGCCTCATGTTCTTCATCTGTACAATGGGAATATTAAACTATGACATACTATTGAAATATGAACTATAGCCGTACCCTAGAAATTTCTCCCTTTAGGAGAGAAAAAATAGATGTTGGCTGAACCTGTACTAGAGTCATCATTCTTAAATCACGCATTTTATCGTAAAATTCTCCTGCTCAGAAAACCTTTTCATTTAGTTTGTCTAAGTGAAACTTAGTAAGCAACTTAGCTTGTCAATTCAAGACTCTATAATTTGGTCCCATCCTTATTCAAGTCAATTAAATATTTGTTAAGCATCAATGTGCCAAACACACTATTCTAGTATTCTAGTATACTCACTCTCTACCCTTGTTAGGCCTCTATCCCACTACCTCTGGAATAGGTCCCACTAATTCCTGCCTCCCAGTCTTCTGCCCCTTTCCTTTTTCGGAAGCTTGGCATCCACCTCTCCACCTGTCTAAATCCTACCTATCCCACCTCCTTCCTGAAGCCTTCCCCAACTTATCCAGTCCACAACACTATTTCTCGATTTTCTGAATTCACAGAATTTGAGAACTCGGTGGTCATCCAAGTCAACCTATGCACCAAAAGACCCCTCACTCTAACACACCTGACAGGTGGTCACTCCAGCCCACTCCCCCAGGAGTGGAAGCCTCTTCTACTTTCAAGCAGACATTGAGCCTCAGTTGAGACAAAGAGAACAAGTTGACCCTCACCTCCTCATGACAGTCCTGACATGTCATCACAACTACTGTGTACCATCTGCTATGACTAGTTTTGTCTATACTGGATGGTCAGGCTCCTGAGGGCAGAAAAAGGTTCCTCTGTGTGGTTGTATCTTGCAGAGGGATCAATAAATACTTGCTGTTGGTTAACATGGAGATTTCCTTCCCACACATATGCCTCCTACTGGGGTCATACAGAGTATTGTGTGTGGCTCCCAAGGTGGCCATGGCATCTTCAAGGCAACTTGGGACAACTCAGGGATCAGGATGAGGATCTGGGAATTTTAGCACTTGAAGGGGCCTGTAGACATGAGGGTTGGCAGGGGCTTTAGAGGTCACTTGTCCCATTTAATTTCCACAGAAATGACGTGATATGTTCTCATCAGATGGCTACTAAGTGGCACTGCAAAGAATAAGGCTCAGGACTCCTGCCTCCAATGCTGTTGGTGTTGCTCTGGGCTATGTGACATTTTAGAATAACTTTTCATAATCACATTTTCATAGAGATTTAAGGTTTTCAGAGGGTTTTATATACCTTACTCCCTTTGATCCTTAACAACTCTGTGAAATAGGCTGTGATCACATGATTATCCTCACTTTACAAATAAGGAAACTGAGGCTCCAAGGTTAAATAGTTTACCCTGGGTCACAACTTGAAAGTCTCTGTGTCAGAATTTGGGAAAAAAAAAAGAATTTGAACCAAGGTCTCTTCTGACTCTAAGTTTAAAACTCTGTCTAGTACACCAGGTCTGTACTGGAAAGTGGATAAAGGAGTTTTTGAGAAAGAGGAAGAAGGAAACAACTCAGGTAACTTAGGGGTCATCAGATATACTATCTCCAAGGTACCTACCATTCAGTTTGAGGTATTATGGGTAGGCTCACCAACATTAGATACCTACCAGTCAGGGTGTGCTGCAGGGCTAAATCCCAGACTTTCACAGCCTTGTTGGAGGCGCTCACCAGCACAGTGTCTGAAGTGGGGTGGAACTTCAGGACGTCCACCTGGAACTTCTCAGGGCCCAACACCACCCCAGGTGCAGAGGGCAGGTCCTGGCCAGCAGTGGTGGCCGGCAGTCGCCACAGCTTTACCTATAACAACAAATACATTAATGAGCCTCAGATGTTAGATTTTGTAAGGGAGAATGGAAATGGGAAAAGATGATTTCTCTTCCATTCATGTCTTACTGGTCTCTGCTCCTCCCAACCCTGGTGTCCATGTAAAGCTAAATGCAGGAAAAGTTTCCACCCCAGGGCTCTTTCAAACCAGTTAGTTTCCCCACCATAAGACTTGTCCATTTGGTTTGGAGATCCCAAGTTCCTGACAGATGCCCCAACTTAATAACAATGTTATAGTGAAAAGAACATTGAACTAGGATCAGAAGCCCTGGGTTCTAATCCAAGTTCTTCTATTAACTTGCTGTGTAACTCTGGGAAAGTCACTTAACTTCTGAACCTCAGTTTCTCCACCTGTAAAATGAAGGGGCAATACAAAGATCTAAGACATCTCCAAAGGCCTCATGATGGAAAATGCTATCCACATCCAAAGAAAGAACTATGGAGTTTGAATGCAGATCGAAGCATACTATTTGCTATTTTTTTTCTTCTGTTGTGTTTTGTTTCCTCTTTCTGGTGGTTCCTCCTATTGGTTCTAATTCTTTCTTACAACATCACTAATGTGAAAATGTTTAATAGGAATGTATATGTATAGCCCGTATCAGATTACACACCATCTTGCGGAGGGAGGTGGGGAAAGAGGGGGAGAAAAATTTTAAACTCAAAAGCTTATGGAAGTGATTATTGATAAATCAAAAAAAATTAATATAAAAAAATGAAGGGGTTGGAATTTTAAGGAACTTCCCTTCCAGAGCTATTTTCAATGAAAGGAGATAGGAATATCTGCAGGCCTGATGCCAACCTGGGACTAGGAAAAAATAGCCACTTAAGGTGCAATAAGGGATATTTTAAAAATTAATCTTTACAAAGGCACATAATTTTATTGCTAGAAAACTACATTATCCATGACATGTAGTATTTATTTTGTAGTAAGTTAAATCTGCATGTCTTACATGAGCATAACTCAAAGCATCCTTTAGAGAGTAACACAGAACAGGGACAATTTTCAAACCTTGTTTAGGGCACTCAATTGCCCTTTCTCTGGTCCCAAGTGTCAGGAGCCGATGCCACAAGCAGGTAAGGGCATCCACAGATACTGAGGAGTTGGGATTCTACTCTCTGCTATCCCTGGACCCTCATTCTTTTCACCAGATGTCTATGTAAGATGCAATCTGGCGGTTTTGCAGGTGGCATGAAATACTACAATTCCCTGGAGTTCTCACCAAGAGAAAATGAATTTCATTTGAATCTTTTGGGCCAGACTGGCCACCATTTAATACCTACCGTCTTGAGCCCTCTCCCCCTTAAACCAAAAGTATGTGTTTGTGGTCAGTTTAGAAATGCTGAGGATTGGACTTTCTTCAATTTCCCAATTAAAGGGAGAAGAAAAACTGAATGAGCACTAACCCTGGAAACACACAGAAACCATAAGCAAGATCAATGGGCCCGTCTAAATTCTGTCATACTCAGTAAAACCTTTAAAAACATATTTGCCTGTTTTAGATAGCGGAGTAGAAGAGGAATTAGAAACCTATATCCCTTTCTGCAGCTCTCAAAGAGAGGAACTCAGGCCACAAGAAAGGGTGGTACCCAGGAAGGACAGAGAGCTGAACTCTGGGGCTGAAGAAAGTTGAGCATATGGAACAACCCAAGACTAAAAAGTATTCAAGTAAGGGGAGGAAAGGAGGAGGAAAGAAGGATAGCATTCCTCAGGGGTTCCATATGGTACCAGTGCCTTAGTTGGAGGCAGGATCCATAAGAAAATGAACAGCCATGAAGTCCAGAACTTTAAAGATATATACTTGGGTTTCTTTTGAGTTTTCTCTACATTAAGAGTAATATGAAAGGTTTCCAGTCCCTGGGTAGATAGCTAAGTCCCTAGAATGGGGACTGCTGTGGGAGAGGTTGGGGTTAGCTGCTGGGCTATAGTCTTATTGTAAGCTCAGGAATCCTCAGGTGAGATGTTTCGGGAAAAGGACCCTACCAGCTCCCATGGGCTTCCCAATCTCTTCACTCACCGTTTTGTCTGCTGAGCCTGTGGCAAGGAGATGGTCATCAAATGGAGAGAAATCAAAATCAGTCACCAGATCTGTAGAAGAAGTATGGTCAATGAGTTGAAGGAGATACCACCGAGTGCCCAATTTGATTCCCAAAGTGGCTTCAATTCCTGGACCCCAGGAACATGATCCCCTGAGCCAAGGGCCCCTTAAATTGCCTTCTACTGCTTATACACATTTTCCCCATATGAGCCCTAAAGTACAAAGGAACACCCAGGTACCTTGGGGGCAAATACCAGAGAGCCTCTCCTAAGATTCACACTTCCAACTAAAGCTTTTCTGCTCTAGGATCAAATTCAGAGTCAAGGAGGCTAACTAAGGGATTAGAAGGAAAGATCAACCGAATATTTCCCTGGATTCCTGGAGGAATTCTGACCCTTTCATTGAACCAATGAAGTATTTAGAAAAATCTCCTATGTGACTAGAATCATTTATAGAATCATATACAGAGAGAACACATATAGAAGGCAAGCATCAATCACAGAATGACTACACAAACTGTACACAAATGTTAAAAGACTACTACTGCAGGAAGCAAGAAATAGGAAAATTTCAGAAAAGCACGGGAAACTGATAAAATATAAACTGATATGAAGTGAAGAAAGTAGAACCAGGAAAATGATATGGAAAGAACACCACAAAGAAACCGACTGCTTTGTAATTACAATGACCACCATGCTTGGCCCTAAGGAAGAGAGAAGAAAAGCACATCTTTCCAAGGACTGTAGACTTGAAATACTGTATACGCTATGGGACTGTAGACTTGGAATACTGCTCATGCTATGGGACCATGGGGTTGGAATATTACACACACTATCAAATTCAGTGATTGTGTTGGTTAGTTTTGCTCAACTGCTTCCCTCTTCAACCCCTTTTTTATTCTTTTATTGTTTATAGAATAAATATTATACATTTGTTCTTTATTTTATTCTGCTATTCTTTAATGCAAGGGATGGCTTGCTGGGCATAGGAAATGGTAAAGAACAGCTGTTTCTGCTGCCCCTGTGGCACCTGAAGACAGGATACTAGATACATCTGGAGGACGTTTCTGAGTGATCATGGCTGTCAAGAGATTTGGGTTCATGCAGAATGGGGTTAAAAGTCTTCTATTTCTCCAGGTGTCTCCTGGATAACATCCCTGAAGCATCTCTTTGTTATCTCACGTCTTGGCCTCTGTTGTGCACACTCCCATCTATGAGTCTGGGACAGAGGTTGTTCCAAGGTACTTAGGATGCCCAGGATTTCAGCTCTTTCCCTTTAGTTGGTCCTTTAATACAGCGGTTTCTGGTCATGGGTGAGCTGGGGAGGGAAGCTTGGATCTAGTAAATCAAATCTTTGATCAGTCAGAGAACTCATTTATCAAATAGCCATTGAGTATAAAGGAGAAGACTGTGGTAAACCCTAGATTTAGTTTCTACTTGTGATGCCACAGTTGCAGACTAAATACCCTTAGTTTTCTCGGTGTCATGGAACACTGTCCAGTTGGTATCACTGTCTCTTTCACCCACTCCCAGGGACCCTGTCCTCGCTCCTCCAACCATACAAATCCATTCTCCCCTCTATGCTGGCCTGCATCATTTCCTCATTGGTGAGAAGAGGGCATGTGAAGACCTCTAAGGACCTCATCCAGCTCTAACATTTCATAGTCTACATTCTAAGGTCCCTCATAGGGCTAATGCTCTATGAACCTTCCTCAAAACTAACAAATCACACTCATGGGTAGAATGCCAATGACATTTAGTGAGTCTTGATGACTTCAGAAAAATCCAAAGAGAAGGCACACATCCTTTCCAGGGCAGTATTCCTAATCACAGTCATTTCCCAAGATGAACAGCCTCTAGACTACTGAAACAAACAAACTCTCCCTCTGACCTCTCAGGGTAGTTGGTTTATATTCTTAATCTGAGGTCCCTGCATTTGGTTGGTATTTTTTTAAAATATTGCTAAACTGCATTTCAATATAATTGATTTCCTTTATAATCCTATGTATTGTGATTTATGTATTTAAAAATATTATTCTGAGAAGGGGTCCATAGGCTTCACCAGACTGCCAAAGATCGCCTGTTTCATACATTTCTCATGCACTGACCACATTCTGCACTGTATTATAGTTTATCAGTCTACGTATCTTACTCCACTTCACCCCCCAACAGCTACACTGGATTATATTTCTTCATGAGGCAGGGCAGGGACCTGTTTTATTCATCTCTACATTCCCACCTATAGCCCTGTAAACACAGGCACTCGATAAACATTTCTTGAATGTAGGAATCAAAGACTGTAACAAGCACACCCACACACCCCTAAAGCTTTAGCAGGGATCAATCCTTAGTCCCTGTCATGATGCATGAACAGGGCTCCCGGAAGTTCAGGATTGTCAGCACAGCCGCTATAACTGAATGAAAACACTGCCTGAGCCACTTTGAGCATGCACAGAACAAGTCATTGGCTTCAGCTGGAGTCACGTCAAGACGAAGAGCTCCACCCCGGCTGCCACCAAAAGCCTTTTGTGGCCATCTTAGCCAGAGCCCTCTGGTCCAGCCCCATTTCAGCATTTACTTGTTTGGGCAACAAAATGGGTAGCCTAGCATTTGTTCCACTTGCCTCCTGACAGTCTACGAGTAACCTGGCAAGACACTCTTCCTCTGCTGCGGAGTCAAGGAATTAGAAGAGGAAGCCACAGTCAATGCAGAGTCAAGAGCCAGGTGGACAAGGGGCAAAGACTAGGTCAGTGAAATTCCTCACAAGGGGGTAGGTACGTGTACCTCTATTCCTCGGCCCTAAAGCCGGTGGTGATGCACTGTAGCCGTTACCCCACTTCCATCTGTCCTCAGCAGAATTCCAAACGGAGGCATTAACTTTACCTGGGAGGCCAGTTTCCCTAATCAGAAGCCCCCCCTTGGGTCAGGGATTGCTTTCTGTGTAGTCTTTGTAACCCTGGTGCCTTGAAAAGTTAATTAATGATTGATGGATTGGAAAGGTGGTAGGAAGCACGGATGTCAGCAAGCCCAATGAGTGCTGAACAGAAGGACAAGGCCAGTATGAACGCTGCTTCATTTTGTCTTATATCTTTATTCCTGAGCACAGTTCCTCGTACAAGGTAGGCAGTTTTTCAGCTGAATGGGAAACTGCATAAAAAGGAAAAAGCAAGTGTGTCCTGGGCAAAAGGAGTCACCTACCTGAATGGCAACCCAGGTAGGCCACATTCTTCTTGTTCTTGCCCTGACTTTCCAGGGGCACAATGCCCAGGGTGCCTGTTAGGAGAATGAATTAATGTGGATTTCCAACTTAGTAAGAACTAACCATGCCCCCTCCCGAGGTCCCCACAATCGCACTGGGATCCAGATATATGCCTCAGTGTGAGGAGAACCCTACGGGAAAGGTATATCCTGGAGGACAACAGTCTCAACTTTAAGAAGAGGTCCTTTGGATTCTACCCCAAGTTCAACTTGGACCCCTTAGTTTGGTTCTTGTAACTGTAACAGGTCAAAATGCAAGCTGTTAAAGGTCACAGCCCTGGGGTGATAGGGCTGGATTAAATGACTCCACCACAGTGCAAAGAACATAACACTTGCTACCAACTATCTGTGACTCCAGACAAGTTCCTTTACCTTGTTGTGCGTAAGATGTTTCAAATATAAAATAAGAAGACTGGACTACAGGGTCTGGAAGGTGTATCAGGTCTGGACACCATTCCAGTTCTCACTGAGAAAAGAAGCTACCAATCTGCAGTTTCTGAGGCCTGTAAGCTCTCTCGGTCCTCTGTTCTCATGTTCATCCCCTCCTTGATAAACCCCAATGCTCCAAAGAATCTTTCCACTACAGAGCTGTGGGATGGAGAAAAACCAAGGAGAAAACCAGGCAGGTCAAGCTAAGCTCTCCTCCCTCCCCTAACTAGGAGTCCCCTCCTTCCCCATCCTCTCCTCTGCCTCTCTACTCTAGCCAGGCCACATCTCTAATTCCAACCTAGCTCTCATACCTGGTCGATCACTGTTAAACACAATTAAGCTACAGCTTGACTTGATGTGGTTCCCGTAGGACGAAGCTGTTCCTGCTCGAACGTCATTGATCCAGGCCTGGAAGTAAGGAATGAGAGAATGGTAGTGATGGAACAACCTGCTGATATCCTTGGAGGGAGTGGAGAACCCAAAAGGAAAGAGTAGTGGGTGTACCTTCTGAGGACCTGGATTAGAATCATTTAATCTCTTTAAGCTTCAGGTACTTTATCTGTGAAATGAAGAGGCTGGACTATATGACTTATAAAGTCCTTTCTAGTTCTTTATCTCTGATCCATGATAAGCTTCCTGGTCCCAAATATTACCTTACCCAGGTATCAAAGAATCCAAAATTTTACCATTAGAGATGTCCCCCTCCTGTTAAATATCATCCCTCTCCCTGCCATGATTCTGAAGGATCATACATTAATCTTGGTACAAATCTACATATAATACCTCTTTCTGAGCAAAAAAGGAGAATTTTTAAAATACTGAGGCCCTGAGGAGATGAAGGAGAGGAGTCCTGAAAGGAAAGGAGAAAGACTCAGAAAGGAGAGATAAGGACCTTTCTCACCATATGGCCTAGGGCAGCCCTGATGCTGGAGAAGAAACCAGCACGTGTAAGCAGCAGTGAGAGAGGAAAGCAGAGATCAGCTGAAACCTAGGCCTGAGAGGGTTCTTTGAATTCATGAATCTTCCTTTATATGAGGGTTTCTAGAATTTTAGAATTAGAAGTTTATGTGTGGTATTGTAGACCAACAAAAAGTTGATGGTTTTTTTTTTTGTTGGTGGAAGGGAGTCGGAAGTGGTAGTGAGCTGTGTTTCAAGCAATTTGTGTGAATCCTTGCTACTATGGAGGGCTAAAGGCAATACTGTTCTCCACCTTCATGGGTGCAAAACAAGGACAGAAAGAATAAAAGGAAAGATGTCCAATAATAAATAATAACAATTGACATTTATATAATGTTTCTATGTTTATAAAGCACTTACACAAAAACTCTGTGAAGTAGGTAGACTGAATATTAAAATATCCATTTTACAAGTGAGGAAACCTAAGCTCACCAAGGCGAAATACCTTGTCCACAGTCATACCGCTACTAAGTACTCCAGCTGCCCCAGCCTAGCACACCAGCATGACTGTACCTCACTCCCCCGCATACAATCTACTGTATGTCCCAGCCAAACTTCCTGCTGTTCTCCAAACAAGACATGCCATCGCTTACCTCAATGCCTTTGTTCATATCATTCCTCATGCTGGAAATGTTCTCCTTCTGACCTCGACCGACCCTTGCAACCCTGATTTCCCCTCAAGGCTCCATTCAGTCAAGTGCTGCATCCCTCAATAGGTTTTTTCTAGTATGTAGTTTGTTAGTGTCCACTTCCCTTCATTAAAATTACTGAATCTGAAGGGGAATTTATTGTGTATTTAGTCATCTGTGAACACACTGCTTCATCCCAGCAAAATGAAAGCTCCTTAAGGGCAAGACCCATCTCCTCATTACAATTGTGTCTCCAGCACCTGGCACATAGCATGGGCTTAAATGAATACTTGTTAGTGATCAATATAAGCATATGTTTCTAATGACTCTAAGTACAGCCCTTTTTCCTCTATACTACACAAGTAAACTCTACCCCTTTGTAGTTTGACTATCTGAAAGCTTTGTACCTTCTTTTATTTCATGCTGTTTTCACCTTAATTTGCTAGTAAAGTTTTGGGTTTTTTTTTTGTAAGGCAATTGGGGTTAAGTGACTTGCCTAAGGTCACAAAGCTAGTACGTGTCAAGTGTTTGGTCTGAGGCCGGATTTGAACTCAGGTCCTCCTGACTTCAGGGCCGGTGCTCTATCCACTGCGCCACTGAGCTGTCCACAGTAAAGTTTTGTTTTAAGAAAACAGCATCTCAGTAAGACTGAAGGAAAATGATTTTCTTTCTTTGACTAGGCCACGAAAGTTGGAAAAAATCTAGATGTTCCAGAAGCTAGGAAGAAATAGCAGCAGAGAATAATAATAATGATAACAGCTTGCATTTATAGTTTTTTAAGACTTACAAAGCAATTTACATATATTATTCCACCATCTGGGTGAATATGAGCTTGAAAGCAAGGAGGGATCATAAAAGAGTGACAAGTAGGGGTGGGGAGAAGGGGGAGATGCTCAAGGATATTTCTTTACAAATTAAAGTTTTGGTCATGGGTCTGACTACTAATGTTAACCTCAAGAATTCGATGGAAAAGTAGAGGAAGATAGAGAATTTTAGCTTTCTTGATCTTGCCTCACTGGGATAATGTAATTAGCAATTATATTCCTGAAGTCCCTCACACAGGGACTATGAGATCTGACAAACCACTCACTCTCAGAAACTGGCATATTCACTGAAATTCAAGATGCTAAAAACTTAGAGGAATGAATCAACAAACTGGCTATTTGAACACAAATGGAAATGATGAGCACAAATGATGGCTTTTGGTATTCATAACATGGAAATGATCAATAACATTTAATGGATCTGCCTTCACCACAACAAGCAAAAAGAGATTCCAATTAAATCAATAGAAGCATTATCTGAATCTTTCTTTCAAGGTATAAACTATCTTCTGCCAACTGAAAAATAAGCCCTCCAAACTTCTCAGCCTATTCTACCTGCATGGGTTATGCAACCTTCTCTTAGTTTCTATAACCTTCACTTGACCTGGCAAGTCATGGAGGCATCACTGGGCCTGGAAACAAGAACCTGGCCTCAGACATTTACTAGCTGTGTGACTCTGAGCAAGTCACATAATCTGCCCACCTCAGTTTCTTCAACTGTAAAATGGGAATAAGAATAATTCCTATTTCAAAAGGTCATTATGAGGATCAAATGAGATAATATTTGTAAAGATCTCGGCCCAGCACCCAGCACAATTCCCCCAGAAGTCTCCACGAGCTACTATGCTATTATTCCATATCTTGATTTCACTGACAAACTTCTGAAATGGGTACATGATTGATGTCAAACACAAATAGAAATGGAGGCCACCAAACTACACAGAAGGAACTCTATGGGTGCATGTCGACTTAGAAAACCACATATTAATACAATCTCGGTTTTATTGTATTTCAATTTATTTTGTTTCATATTTCCCAATTACATTTTAATCTGGTTCAGGCTATACCTGGGAGTGTTTGACACCTCTGAAGCAGAATCCAATTCCCTGTTCCTTAGCCTTGAATCCTGAGGAGATTTTGCTGGAGCTGCCCACCTTGCAGTTCTACACCTTGTGCTAGACTACAGAACCTCTAGCCATGCAGTCAATCAACAAACAATGGGCCAGGCATCATGCTGGGGACACCCTCTTGGAGTTTACATTCTATCCATGGGAGACAGCAGGAGCATATATAAGTACATCTATGAAAAAGCAGAAGGGCAATTGTTGGGGATAGGGGAAGGACAGCAGTAGCTGAGGGGATGGAATCTGGGACGGCTTCACGTAGGAGGGGCACGTGAGTTGTGTTCTGAAGGCAAGAAGACAGTCTAAGAAGCAGAGGTGAGAAGGAAGTACTCCAGAGAGAGCACAAGAAGGGAGGCAGAGGAATGTCAAGGTACAGGAATGGAAGGTGGACAGGTGGGCTGGACCACAGAATTCAGGAAGGGGAGTATTAAGGCTGGAAAGGTAGATTAGGGCTAGTCTGGGAAAAGCTTTAAAAGTCAGATGGAGGAATTTACAGTTGATCCTACATGTAGAAGCGAGCCATTGAAATTTATTGCACAGGGGAGTGACATGGTCAGACATGTGGAAAAATCATTTTAGCAGCAGGTGGAAGGTAGCTAGGAAAGGGGAGAGACTTGAGGCAGAGAAACCAATCAGAAGGCTACTGTAATACCATGGAAAAAAGCGATGAGAGTCTCAACTAAGGCAGTGATCATGTGACCAGAGACAAGGGAACAGAGAAGAGACATACCTAGGAAGTAAAATGGGTATAACTTAGAAAATGACTGGATAGGGGGCAGCTAGGTGGCACAGTGGATAGAGCCCTGGAGTCCGGAGGACCCAAGTTCAAATCCGGCCTCAGACACTCTCTAGTTGTGTTACCATGGGCAAGTCACTTAACCCCAACTGCCTCTTAAAAAATAATAAAGAAAAGAAAATGATTGGATATATGGGGTGAGGCAAAATGAGGAGTCAAAGAGAACACTGAGGGTGTGAAGCTGGGTATCTGGAAGGACAGTGGTACCCTTGACAGAGAAAAGGAAATTGAGCAAAGAGATGAATCTGGAGGAAAAGATGAGAGTTTATACTTCTCTGACCACCTAAAAGTTTCCCTACAAATGTAATTTTTCCTGCATTCTCATAATTTCTGAAATAGCATCAGCTATGATCATCCCACAAGACTCTATTCTTTGTCCCCTCTACCTTAGCAGTCTCATATATGGAATTAATCTACACCTCTGTGCTTTATTTTTATCTCCAACTCGATTCAAACAAACATTTACAGATGCCTACTGTCTATTAGGTGCCAGGGATACAAATTTGAAAAAAATAACCTAGTCCTTTCCTCTCAAGAAACTTACACATGAATAAGACGGAGTAAGATAATTATGGGCAGTTAAATGGCAAAGTAGATAGAGTGCCAGGCCTGGAGTCAGATAGACTTGAGTTCAAATCTGGCCTCAGACATATACTAGCTGGGTGACCCTGGGCAAGTCAGTTTCCTCATCAGTAAAACGAGCTGGAGAAGGAAATTGCAAACCACTCTAGTATCTTTGCCAAAAATTGGGTTTTGTGAATTGGACACAACTGAAATGACCGAACAACAACAAAGACAAAAATGACTACACAACCAAACGACAATTTAAGTACACAAATAAGGTCATTTTGCTACATGCAAAAGAAGACATAGAGATGAGGTGTTGTGAAGTATATGAGAAGGGAGAGAAGAGATGACCTGGAGAGCTCAGGCAGGCAATCAGGATTGTAAAAGGCCTTGAGATCAAGCTATCTATGGGTCATTTGAAGGAAGAAATGTTTGAGAACGTTTAACCCAGGGAAGAGAAGACATAGGTGGGACAATAGCTGTTTTCAGGTACGAGAAGGACCATTAAGAGCTGCAAAGGGAATCAGATTTGTTCCACTTGATCCCAGGGAGCAGAACTAGGAATAACAGAGAGAAAGTGGAAAAAACAAATTTAGTCTTTATAGAATGAAAAACTTCCTAAGAATCAGAGCTATCTCAAAGTGGAATAGGCTGCCTAGGGAGACAGTTGGTTTCTCCTCACCAGAGCTTTTCCAAGAAAAGGCCTGGAAAATATGTCCAGTATGTTGAACAGGGATTCTTGTTCGGAGAACAAGTTGAACTGGAAGGCCACTAAGGTCTCTTCCAACTCAGATTCTATAAGAGATCATTTTCATCCCTGGGAGTAAGGAATCTGAGAAGACTTCAGGAAGCAGGTAGCACCTGCACTGGGCATCTGGAGAGGGAATGTCAATAAGTGGAGACGCCACTGGGGGAGCATATTGCAAGAATGCACATATGTACAGAAGCAGTAGAGGGCCAAGGAAGCTCAGGAATGAGTTAGGAGGCCAGCTTTGTTCGAAACACATAACTTTGTTTGAAAGTATAACATACATGAAAAGGATTAATGTGAATTAAGACAGGAAAGATAGGTTGTAGAAAGATTGTAGAAAGTCTTAAATATCAGCTTTGCATTTTATCCTTACTGTAATGCTCTGAGCAGAAAGTGACATGATCCAACCTATGCATTAGAAAGATAATTCTGGCATCAAGGCAGAGAATCAGCTAGGAATATATTATAATAGTACAGGTGAGAGATAAAGTGAGGGCCTGAATGAAGGAAGTGATGGTGGGATTGGAGAGGAGGGAACAGATAAGAGAGATAATGCTAAGACAGAAGAGACAGAACTTGGGGGCTAATACAATGTAGGAGGTAAGGGAATAGGAAGAGTCAAAAACAATTCTAAGATTTTCAGCCTGAGTAATTGAACTGGGAAGATGGTGGGAAAAAAATGGAAGTTGAGAGGAAAGTAAGGTTTTAGGAGGAAGATGATGAGTTAAGTTTTGGATATATTATATTTGCGATACCTAGTAAGTGTTTTATAATTACTTGTTCATCAAATGAAGTGGTGTCAGGAAATCCAGATGGAGATGATTTTAGCTGGGATTTGTGGTATCAGTCTGCACATAGATGATAATTCAAAGCAATGGGCGTGGATGTACTTGACAAGAGAAAGAATACAAAGAGAGAAGAGAAGAAGGCTGAGGGCAGGGCCTACAATTAGGTGGCCAAGGAAAGCAGATGAACCAGTCATGGAAACCGAGAAGGTATAAGGAAACCCAGGAAAGAGCAGTGTCATCAAAGTCACAGAGGAGAAAGTACCAAGAAGGAGGGAGGTGGTCAGCAGTAACAAATGCTACACTAACAAATGCTAGAACAAATGTTCTAGCTACAGCTAGAACAAGAAGGTTGAGAAAAGGCCATTGGATTTAACATTTAAGAAGTTTCCAAGATATTAAGAAAAAGCAGTTTTGCATTAAGGAGTATGAGTATGTGGTGAGGAAGCAGAGGTAACTAGTGTAGCCTACTCTTTTTCTAGACCCAACAGTGACTGAGAAGAGAAAGGTAAGGATTGGGGGGTGGGGTAGGGTAGCAAGATCAAATGAAGACTGGATTTTGTTTTGTTTTGTTTTTCTTTTAGGATATGGGAGACTTGAGTATGTTTACAGGCAGAGGATAAGGAACCAATAGAAAGGGAAAGTTCGAAGATGAGAGATGAGGAGGGAATAACTGTTAGAGCAAGGTCTCAGAGCAAATTTGGAGAGGATCGAATCAAGGACACAGGCAGAATGCTTCATCTTGACAAGAAGACATCCCCTGAGACTACAGACTAGAAGGAAAGAGGAGAGTTTAAGGATAGAGATAAAGAAATGTTGAGGTGAAAGTCAGGGCAGATGGCCTCAGTCTTCTCAGTAAAGTAGATTTCTACCACATAGCTCCAGTCCAAACATCTCCAACTGCCTGCTGGATAGCTCTCTTCACTTCCTGACGTGCTATTATCCAAATCTGAATTCAAATTTCCTCCCTAAACCCGTCATTCTTATAACTTCCCTATTTCTTCTGACAATACCACAAACCACCCAGTCACCCAAGTTCAATGCACATTTCATATCCTTTCACTTTCACTCATCACTCTAATTAAAGTCCTCATTATCTCTGACCTACACTGTTGTTGTCTGGGAATAGAGATGACCTCATAATTTCTATTATATCTATATGTATATATGCCATCCCCTTATTAGATTATAAGCTCCTTAAGGGCAGAATCTATCATTTTTCCCCAAAATTTGTACCTCCTACTTCATTAATAGTGTTTTGCAAATATGTTGATGTATTTATCATGTTGATGTGAGTATTCTCTCAGAGGCAGCACGGTACAGGGGGAAAAAGCCCTGGATCTGTACTCAGAGGATCTGAATTCAAATCTAACCACCATACTGTGTGACCTTGGACAAATCACTTAACCTCTCTGGGCCTCAGTTTCCTCATTTGTAAAATGAGGATGCTGCACTACATGACTTTTAATGTACCTTTCGGCTCTAAATATGAGGTCCTGTGATCCCTCCTATGGTGCAGATCATGTCCACACCTCTTTACCCTAAACAACTTATGTATTTTCATAAACGGTGCAAATAGGCTGTCTGTCCACTGGTTATTGCTCACTCTCACGAAGTGTATGGCACACCTTCCTCTACCATCACACACAGTTAGGTCCTGATAAGAGCAAATAATGAATCCCTTAAAGTGGTTGCCTTATTTGTATTCATATTATTCAAAGTAATAATTAAGTATGGTTTCAGTCCAGTGCAAATATACAGTGCAAATTAAAATAATTTCACAACTCCAGAGGAATTCCTCATTTGTACTAATTGGGACCTGGCTATATGTTTCCATCTATGGCACAAGCACTGTACCTGAACATACTGTCCTTTAGTAAGGACGATGAAACCAGAATATCTTTGTGTACTGGTCACAGCAGAAAGGAAAAAAAAATACTTCCCAAGAGTAACCAGGTCTCCAGTACAAAATCTATTTAATGTTGCTGAGATGGCAGTTAGAACACCTGAGATCAGCAATTTCTCTCTTCAAAATGACCAAGACTCTACAGACTGCATTAAACATTTCCTCCCCATTCTCTTCCTAGTGTCAGGAAGAAAAGCTTTAACTATGGAAGAAGAAAGAGACATAGTGGAACCTTTCCAGGGCAGGTTAAGCAGCAAACTACTGTCAAGAGAAACAAACCTCTAAGCCAGGGAAGAGGTTATGCAAACACTAAGAGAAAGAGGCAGCGGAAACATGGGGAGCACAACCTCTGGCAGAGGACTTCACTTTTCAATTCAAATGACCCAGATATAGAAAAATAAATGCTTCCCCAAAAGAGGACCACATTTCAAGATTGCAAACGCCACAAAATCTCTTCAACTCTGATTCTTACTGCACTGGGGCAAAGCTGAATAAGGGGACTGGAGAATATGAAGCTAAATAAAAAATACACAAAGTTTAAATTGAGGAAGCAAAACCGGAAGATAGTTATAGCTGCAAGGGAAGCTTGAGATCTTCCTTCACCCAACAAGGTGGGGGGAAGGGGAGAGAAAGGCGGCAGATGGGGATTCCAAATCCTTCTGTCACCTCTTGAACATAATGCAGCATGTTCTATTTTTGGCTTTAACCACTCTTGGTTACTAAAGTTTTCTATGACAAAAGACCTAGTAGGAATGACAGGTCAGCAGGGCAAAAATCAAAGCAACACTATTCTTTCTACCTCAAGCTACAGAGCTGTTTCTTACACTGTCAGTGGCTGATAAACTAAGGCTAGTCCAGCAGCCTGATGCCAGTCTTTGGGGTGGATGAAAACTGCCTCTACTCACAGAGCACTTACAAACCACTCCGCCCCCCCCAAAAAACACCCTTGTGATAGAGATAGTAAAGTACAGAATTATCCTCACTTTGGAACTAGGAAAATAGAGACCCAGGGAAATACAGGCGCTTGCCTGCTCTAGGTCAGGGCTTGAGCTTGTGGCCGGACAGATGGACTCTGCCCGGACGGCAGAGATGAGAGAGGGCCGGAAAGGAAGGAGCCCAGAAGACGGTGCAATTAACGAGGAGGGAGGGAAAGACAACGGGGTGGGTCGCGGGCAGGAGAGGGACCTCAGGTGAGCTGGAGCCTTCCAGGGATGCAGGGGTGCCCAGCCCCTCGGCGAGGATGCTGGTCCTTCTCCCCTTCTCCGGAGGCCCCGCGAATCTTCGCTTTCGAGGCGGGGAGTCCCGGCCCCCGGCCCCCGGCGCGCGAGGGGATGCAGGGGAACTGCCATATCGGGGCGGGGCCGGGGCCGGGGGACCTGGGCGCCGACTGGTTGCTCTCCATAAAGCGAGGCGACTCCGCATCTCGGCTCCCCTACACCCTGGACGCTCCGGGCTGGGCTCCGCACCCGCGGCCGCCCTCCCGCCCTCCTTCTTCCGGAGCGACGGACTCACCTCCCTCCGAGGCGGCCGGGCCTCGGTGTGCCGGAATTTGGACATCTTGAAGCGGTTCATAGCGCGGGAGGAGGCTGCGGCGGAGCCGGCTCTCAGGTGCACCTCCAGAGGCTGAGGCGGCGGCAGCGGCAACTCGAAAACCAAGAAACCTACCTCCACCCCCACTCAGAGCGCGCCGCACGCCGGCAGCGGCCACGCCCTCATCATGCTGTCAGCCAATCCCCGCCTCCTTCGCTTCTCCGGACCACGCCCCAGGAGCCTCTTCTTCCGAACCGGCCTCGGGGGCCTGCCTTCCTACCAATCGTTATCCATCCGCCCCATTAAGCCCCGCCCCGAGCCCACACTGAGTGGCGGGGCCCCCCCCGGCGGCGGCAAGTGGGGGGGGAAGGGAAGAGGGTCACGTGAGGATGGGGCTCTGGGCCTCCGCCCTCGCACGGGGCCTAAGGAGGCGGGCTGCTTGGCAGCTGTTGGGTGGGGGTGAGGGGCGCTCTTCTCCCGGAAGACACGACCGGGTGACTTCCCCAGTGGATCCCTCGTAGTGACTTACGACCTCCGCTCAGTTAGACGAGCACTAATTGAGCTCAAAGACAAAACAACAAAAAAAATTTAACCCATTCCCTGCCCTCAGCAGGCTTACACTCTACTGGGTCATACAATTGTAGACAGATTTATACCACTTAACTTAATCCAGGGAGCACCGGAGTGGGGAATAAGACAGGCAGCAAGCAGGGTGGAGTGGAAAGGAGTCTGGTATAAGCTGTGTGAGCCTGGGAGGTTGCTTAACTTCTCTGTGCTCAGTTTGCTCATCTGTCTAATGGAGAGCTTGGGCTACGTGGTACCTAAGCCACCTTACTCCTTTAAAGCTATATTCTCTGGGGCAGCTAGATGGCGCAGTGGATAGAGCACCAGCTTTGGAGTCAGGAGGACCTGAGTTCAAACTCTATCTCAGACCAGATACTTGACACTTAATTAGCTGTGTGACTCTGGGCAAGTCACTTAACCCCAATTGCCTCACAAAAAAAAAAAAAAAAAAATCTATACTCATCATCAGTAAAGGCCTCGAATGAGCAGGGCCTTGGAGAAAGTTAGGGATTCTAAGGGGCAGAGGATGAAGACAGAGAGGAGCCCAAACAACCCTCCATCCTAAACATTTCAGCAAGTCAGGGAGCTTACTAGGACTCAGGTTCTCCACTACTTATTGTCGTTGGGGACTCCAAAGAGGTTACTCAACATTCATTTTGCTATGTATTGTAGGCGATAGGGGAGATACTGAAATAAAGTTAGGGTTCCACTATCTCATGGAGTTAAGTTTAGCAATGAGATCATATTTTCCCAGCAATTTACAAATTAGTAAATACTTCATTCACAACAGTTCTGAAAGGTAGGATGTACAAACATCCTCATTTTTACAGACAAGAAAACTGAGGCAAAGAGATTAAGTTATTTGAACAAGGCAATCCTTTTAATCCTTCCTAAATGACTCTCTATTTCGTTCCCAGATGAGTCCGTTCAATGCAGGCTGATCAACCCCCTCTCTCCTGCCTCAACAGCTTGGCACCCTTCCATCTGAGGGTCTTAATTTATACTCTACTGAGAAAATAGAGACTATTATCTGTTAACTCCATCTTTCTCTTCAACCAAGGCCTGCCCTGCTACACCTCCCCAACAACCATACCCATCCATCTTCATCTGTTCACTTGCTATCTGCATGTACTTGCCCAATCTTAAAAAAAAAAAACTTAAAAAACCACCCCTACTTTACCAAACCCTACAATCCCCTCAAGTTACTATCCCATACCTCTCCTTCCTTTCTCAACCAAACTTGTAGAAAAACCTTTCTACGCTCATTACCTCCACTTCCCCTCTCACTTGCTTTTTAGCCCTTTGAAATCAGGTTTCCGACGTCATCACTCAGCTGACACTACTCTCTCGAATGATACCAATATCTGTAATTGTCAGATCTGATGGCCTTTTCTTAATCTTCATACTTTCTGGCTTCCCTGTAATTTGACACTATTGACCATCCTTTCCTTCTGTAATGCATTTCTTTCCCTGTTCCTCAGCCTCTTTTGCTAGTTCACCATCCATATAATGCCCCTTCATTTTAGTGTACTCCAAGGCTCTTTTCTTGGTAGCCTCATCAAATCCTATGGGTTCGGTTATTGCCTCTATGCTGGCGATTTTAAACTCTCCCATGAGCTTAAGAAATCATGGGGTTTTAGCCGCCTAAATTTTTAGCTGGACATTTCAAAGTGGATGTACTGTTGTTCAGTCGTTTCAGTCATCTCAAATTCAGTATGTCCACTACACAGCTCAGACCTTTCCCCCGACAAATCCATACCTCTTCTGAACTTTCCTTATGTTGAGAATAGCACCATTTCTTTGGTCACCCAGGTTTGTAACCTCAACTCTTCACTTTCCCTTACCTCACTTATTCAACCACTTGCCAAATCTTGTTTCTACTTCCACAACATCTCTTGCATCTGTCCCCTTCTCTCTGGATAGCTGCCACTCCTAAGTCAGGCCCTCATTACCTTTCATCTGAACTAATGCACTGGATTACTTATCAGTCTCTCTGCCTTTTAGTTTGCAGTTCAAACCATCTCTGACACAGATGCTAAAGTGATTTGCCTAAAGTGTAGGTCTGACTACAACTTCTTGATAGACTCAAGTGCAGGAATTCTTAACCTGGATCCTTTGGTCTATGGTTAGATAAATTACATCTTTATTTTCACTATCTCTAATGGAAATTTAGCATTTTCTTCAATTATTGAAAAATATTTTGAGAAGGGTTCCATAGGCTTCATCAGACTGTCAAAGGTGTCCTTGATACAAAGAAAGTCAAGAATCCCAGCTCTAATGGCTCCCTACTGCCTTTAAGATCCAATATAAACTATCTGGCATTTAACACCCTTCATAATCTGGTCCCAGTCTACCTTTCCAACGTTTTTATATGTTTCTTCCCTTCCTGCACTCTTGTGGTCAAGTCAGACTGTCCTTGCAGTCTCTATTATGTGGGTACTTGCTGTCCCTCATGTCTAGAATTCACTCTCTCATCCCCTGTGCCTTTTTGAATTTCTTTCAAAATTCAGCTCAAGTGCCATCTGAGGCATGAATCCCCTCCTGATTCATCCCTTCCCACCAGCTTCTAGTGATGTCCTTACCAAATTCATCCAAATTGCCAATACTGTCTTACATTTATTTAGTGTATTTTATATATGTATGTGTTGTCTCCCCCTGCTAAGATCCCAGAGGGCAAGGATCATTTCATTTTTGTCTTTGTTTTCCCAGCTGCTTAAATGCTTTGTTGATTGAATATGGTGGAGCTTGGTTTCAAATCTAGATATTTCTAACTCCCAATTCCATGTTATATAGTAATAAAATATCATAAGTTCATAAGATGAACATAAAGGGTTGTGGGATTAGATGAGAGTGAAATCCTTTTCAGTTGAGGAGATGAAAGAGGTAGCATTTGAATTGGGTCACCATTGACATTGGATGTATTGACATTGGGTCTTATTGGGAAATCAGTGACAAATCACAGGTATAGAAAAAGTCTGTGACCTGTGATCTCATACATAAAGACCAAGACAGCTAGAGTCTGGAATCCTATGAATTCTGTCCTACCCTAAACAGGCCTTCCAAAAAGGACTTTCTCATGTTGCAGGGCCCTCTTGGACCATGCTTCAGAAACTGTCTTAGTGCCAGAAGGAAACACAGACAAGCAGGACAGCTTTGGTTAAAATTTATTACATACTTAAGTGGCAAAGCAAGCTGGCCATAATAGAGACTCGTGGTTTCATGTACCCAAACAAAACACTGTCTTCTTGATTCCACAGTACTTGTTTTTTGCTTGGGAATGTTGGAATATGTGTTCCAGTGAAACTAAGAAGAGGCCAGGCTGGAAACAGGACTTTGATCCTGATGTAGGGAATGCATAGTGAGGGATGTGAAAATTTCCTAAGGTGTTACTGCTAATTTCAACTTCAATTCAAATCTTTTTCAATCTAAGAATCAGCTAGTCAATCAAAAAGCCTAATAGGCATTTCAAACTAATAGCCATGTGCCTGCTAGAGCTCAAGATGGGGTCTGGATAGATCTGGGGTAGCTAGGTGGCCTAGTGTTGGATTTGAAATCAGTAACACCTGATTTTGAATCCTGCCTCAAACACTAATTCTCTGACATCACTGGGCACATCACTTAACCTTATCTGTAAAATGGGGATAACAATAGCACCTACTTCAGAGGAGTGTTACAAGAATCAAATGACATAACCTGTAAACATATAGCTTGTTGCAAACCTTAAAGTGCTAATTCATAAAGTAAAACCTGTAAGTTCCGTCAAACTCCTCATTCTGGAGATCTTCACATATTCCATTTAACTGAAGTGAGGGATACAGGTAAATTAAGGTACGGAAGAAACACATCCTGACTTTTTTAGTAATGGGCCCAAGGAAAATATACATCCATCACCCTTTTACCTTCCTTTATTCATCAAACATTTATTAAATGCTTACTATTGAAGAGTAAAGAACATTATGCTAGGTGCTGGGGGAGATATAAAGACAAATAAGACACAGTCCCTTCCCTCAGGAAGCTTTCAGTTTAGTAAGGGCTATAATACATGAATGCTAAGTTAGTCTGTGTCTGAATCTCAAGAACCAAAAACACATTTCTATTCTATCTCTAAATATTAGGTTTATTGATGATGTTAAAATCATTGGTGGTACGCATATACCTAAGAATGAAATGTTTTAAAATAACATTTTACAATGGGGAAAATGAGGGGTTGATTATTGTATATAAGTTTACAAATACAGAAATCTTTCATTATCCTCTAACAACACAATAATGTATCTTCCAATAATATTCGTTAACAAGAACGTCTTCCCTTCACTGAATTTCATTTTTTTCATCCCTATATTTGTATAGTGCTTTATAATTTTCAAAGTACTTTCATATACAGTATCTCATTTGAGTCTTAGAACAACCCTATGAGGTTGGCAGAAGCAGCTTTGACCCCAAGATATTAACGGGTATGCCCAGTGGCAGAACCTGATCTAAAATTAGGACTTCTAAGTTCAGAGCACTAGCTAACCTAACATGATCCTCAGGTCTATCCCAACTTTGAGCAAATTGCTTAGCT